GCATTGTCCATCCAACCCTGTTTTGAACAATCCTTTCAGGTCCTTTCCAGTTGCTGTTTCCTCTTTTCATGTCAGTTTCCAATCCCCGATATAGTGTATTTTCGGCCTTCCTCTTTTCTGTTTCCCTTCAGGATTCCAAGTTAGCGCCCACCTCGTGATGTGGTTTTTTTGATTTCCTCAATGTACATCCTAGCCACCTCCAGCGTCTTCTACTAATTCCCTCTTCAGTTGGAAGCTGGTTTTTTCTCTGCCATAGTAGGTTGTTGCTGATGGTCTCCTGCCAACGGATATTCTTACGTAGACAACTGTTTATAGACACCTGTGCCATTTTGATGACGGTCGAAGCAGTTCTCAAAGCTTCAACTAAGTACAGTAGGACTGTCTTGACGTTCATGTTGAAGATTCTCAATTTGATATTGGTTGAAAGTTGTTTTGAGTTGCATATGTTCTTCAAATGTCGAAATGCGTCCTTCGCTTTGCTAATCCTTGTCTTGAAGCCTACATCAGATCCTCCTTGTTCATTGATGATGCAGGTGACCAGTTGCTTAAAAGATCCCACATCTTCCGAACTTTCTCCACCAATCGTGATTGGGCGGGTGTTCTTTATGTTGTGTTTGAGGATCTTGCCTTTTCTCTTGTGTACGTTGAGGCCTACTGTCACACAGGCTTCTGTTACACTGATTATCTTTATCTGAATTTGTTCGTGTGTACGGGGTATGAGGTCTACGTTATTTGCGAAATCCAAATATTCTAATGATTCCGAGTGATCCATTGTATTCCATGCTGCCCCCCAGATGTGGAAGCCTTCATAGTCCAGTCTACCACCAGAAGAAAGAGGGAGATAGTTTGCAGCCTTGTCTGACTCCGGTCCTCACTCGGAATGCATCTGAGAGCTTTCTTCTATGCAAAACTTTACACTGTAGCCTGTCGTATGAATTCTGCATGATATTGAAGATCCTCTCAGGTACACAATAATGTCGAAGAAGATTCCATAAAGTTCTCCTATCCACATTGTCAAACGTCTTCTCATAGTCAAGGGAGTTTATGTATAGTGATGAATTCCATTCCCTTGATTGCTCAACGATGATATGCAGTGTCGCGATTCGGTCTGTGCACGGTCGATCATTATGAAATCCGGTCTGTTGATTTAGATGTTGGGCATCTACTGAATCTTTCGTCTGGTTCGGCAACACTGTTGAAAACGTTTGCCGGTACTGACAGTAGTGTGATGCGTGCTATGCATTAAAACAGATATTATAAAATTATTACATGTATTTCTCGATCAGTTGCTGCCGCCTTCTTTTTGATTCATCTTTCAGCCTATCAATACCCGGAGGGTTCTTATTATTCCTGATAACCTCCGGCGCGCGACAACCCCACTCAAATTGATATCGAACCACGTCATGTTGATTCTGGTGGGGGAGTAGTGTAGTGGCATTGGGCCCTAACTACACAATCCTCAAAGCTGAACACGGAACAGTCGGGGAAATATATATTTAACATTTAACGCGGAGAAAAACCCAGCGATTGAGAAGGTAGGAACAATGGATAAAGTAAATTCGAATTGATCGGATGGGTTGGCTCGGCCTTGCAGTCGTGGCTATCCTTGAATGTTGTTATATACCCTTTATTCATATTAACTATATTGTTTTATCTCTAGCCTAAGTGTGTTCTCCATCATATACTGATGATTGTTACGACGCGGTGCATTGGTGTAGATAATAATGTGACTTCCACGTAAGATCTTATAGATTGGGCAGTTACATCGTGAAAAATGTACAACTTTAGGATTATGTCTATTATTAGAGCAGTACATTTGCTCAGATCTCCTTTTTTGGTGTCTTGATGAAGTTTCTTTCTTTCCAGTCTGTTGGTGGCAAGTCTTCCTCAATAGAATGTGAGGCATGTTTACAGTTACTTCTATATATCACCTCAGAACTTCAGGTGGTACATTATTGGACCCTGCTGCTTTCCCACTCTTGATTTGTCGGATCACCCCACCTATACCAAAAAGAACTCGCAAGGCCGACTGGGAATGGTTCGGGCATCAAACATTTATTGCTAATTACATGTTAACACCAACAGAGGTATAGGGACTCCCAGGTCTTGTATTGAAATTGACTAGTGGTTTGGCCGTACAATCTACCCCTAAGATTATCTAAACAGTCAGCAAGAAGCACTGGATTTCGAAACGCATTTCAACTACTAAACAAAAAGGGACCGCAACCTGAACGTACGCGAAAACCTACGAAAATGATCATGGTTCTCGATAATTCTCTGTAAGACCCATTTTGAATCTTTTGTGTGTGAAACTCCCTCCATGTATACACTTGCAGTTTGTTTCTATTGATTACTTTATTTGTACATTGTTAGTCTTTTTGATTCCATTTGAGTTTTTAATATTTGTATTTTATTATAGTTTTAATTTTTCTTACGCCTTCACCAAGTTTCCGTGTTTCTTCCTGAACTGTATTTATGTTGTTAGAATAGCATTTATCTGTTGTGATTGATTTGATTAATTGAACAATTGGTTGGATAGCTGGGTGGTCATATTTGTTTGGAACCGTCATTTTACCCAATTACCTTGTTTTGGTTTCAAACGGGAAAGGACGCGTATCTAACCCACCTAGACAGTTATCCTTCAGTCCAAACCCTAGTTTGGATCTTACACTCTCATAATCATGAACCTAAAGACAGCTCTGACCTTCCTCTCTATCTGCAGGCCGATAATGAAAGGATGTTTTGAGAAGAGTTAAACAAGAAGCTCGAACTCATCAAAATAGGGCCACTATCGGTTACATGGCTGACTCCGGAGAAGGACTCCAAGCACCAAAGTCACTCTAGACCCTGTGTAACGTTCACTAATACTGCCGACGTAGAGGATGTCCCGCTGGCTATTCGCTCACTGAAATCATATGTCAATGCAAGAATACTGCCTGATATACCATATTCTGAGCGCAATCTCATCAGGGATATTCCTAAAGAATCCCATTAGCCGTTATTTGTGGAGGAAACATCATTGTACAAGGTGTGTCAGAAAATACGGCCCTGACAACGCAAACTCTGATATTTTGGAATGAGGATTCATCATACATTTCTGGAAGTTCAAAAAAATGCTGACTCAAGAAGTGGCAAGTCTAGCCAAGATGGACAGGGGTCCTGGATTCTGGTTGATGAAGATAACCTCCCTATCCATCAATACGGTGGCTACCACTCTCGAAACGTTTCGTGCCAACAGACTCCGGTTGGAGATCTCAAATTACGAGTCAGGAGCTGGCAATACCAGGGATGCCTTTGTTTCTCAACGACAGAAAAGCAGGGGTGGGGGCGTAGGAACCTTGTATCTGAGATCTTGCATGGAAGTACATCAAGTACATAACCGTGGGTTTGTCAACCTTGATGAATCGGTATGGTGCTCAGTAAGACTGTCTAACACCTCGAAGCGACTAGTTAGAATCATCTACAGGAAGCCTATTGCTGACATTGAGTTTGATAATCGTATGCTAGAGGGATTATCCCACTCTATTCTTCTCGGAAACACTCACATCCTGATTCTTGGTGGCTTCAGTCTTTCTAAATCGAACTTCGCGGAAAATACGTACATTGGAGGTGACAACCCTACTGAAGCTCGGTTCTTTAACGTCATTTAAGATTTGTGATTATTCCAAAGTGTGAAGTTAGCAACTTAGTAGAGAAACGGTTATATACCGTCAGTCTCAGACTGCATATTTACAAACGAGGAATTCCTTAGTGATAACCTCTCGACCGACATTTTAAGGTTATGATTAACTTCAATTTCAGGATACGGACTGTCTCAGTGGGGTTCCTCAGGGCTAATTACTAGGACCTGTTCTTTTCTCAATTTATGTAGACGGTCTTCCACAACATGTGTCGTCGGATTTATTATTTTCTCTGATGATGTGAAACTCTGGAGGGAAGTATGAAACTAAGAGGGTAAACTGGCACTACGGGATGATCTGAATCGACTTCAAAGTTGGATAGATAACAACGGACTCACGTTCAACACTTCAAAGTGTAAAGTAGTCCGAGACATATTGTAGACCACGAATATAACTTGGTTAACTCCAGTCTAGAGGTATCGCAAGTTGAAAAGATTTAGGAGTATTGGTATTCTGTGATCTGAAGTCTTACGCTAACTGTGACAAAAATGCTTTTCGAACAAACCTGGCACTGGTAACGTAAAAGTGCAGTTCGACAGAACGGCTTTCCACATAATCTTCAGAGGTTTTATATGACTCCGTTTAGAGTATGGCAACATCGTATTACCTCCAGAAGGATATGAGACACTGGCACGTATCTAACGGCGAGCCACGAAATCAGTCCGGGGACTCAAATTCGAGTCGAATGAGGAGCGCCTTCAGTCACTGAACCTTTTCTCGTCAGAGTGCAGGTATCTTAGAGATGACTTTCTAATGACTTACAGCACCCTTAATACTTCACGGCATCTCAAACATCAATCTAAGCCTAGTCGCAACACAAATCTTAGGGGTAGTACCCCGAAACTGGAGACCCAACACAATAGAATGTACTGCAGACACGATTTCTAATTCTTAAGAGTAATCGAATTCTGGAATTCGCTGCCGGCTGAGTTGGTTCAATCGACTTCCCAGGAATCATCTAGGAGAAAACTTGGCATATTCTTAAGGACTAAGAACAGTCACTATGATTTACTAGTTCTTTTTTCCTCTTTCGTCGTTAGTATACCTTGGTTATTATTTGGAGGCATCGGTGAACCACTGCTACTAGATACGAAAACAATCAAGTGAAAGTCTATTCCATCCGAACCATTTGTACCATTTGAAGACAGCAACTGCATTGGCGTGGATTTGGAACTTTGGTTATGTTTAAATAAGAGTTTAATACATGTAAGAATTGGGGAATTTTTATGGTACAGCGAACACAGATTGAAGACCTTCAAATTTTTTTTTGCTTATTAATACGGATTGATAATTGACACTTGTTTCAATCCCTTCCCTTTTAGGCGCTCCTCAGGGAATAGTCGGTTTTGTCTAGAATGGAGCAGGGGTACGAAAAACGATTGTTAGGGTCTCCTTATAAATCGGTGTGTGCTTTTTGTTACGTCTTTACGTCCATAGCCCATTAAAACAGTTAGCCCCATGAAGACTCCAACGAAGGAAAATTACATGGACCGATACATCCCACTGAGAGCAAATGCACGTTGGAAAACGTCGACATCTTTCGAGGTTAGTTTGTTTATGGTTTTATTCATTGGTATGTAGCAAACAAATAGTAATCCAACACGTAAACTGTTTCAAAGTAGTCGCGGGAATACTGATGGGCTCAGTAACGATGTTGATTCTCCGAATCAGAATGGCTATCCAAGTCGCGGTCTTGCGTCTTTTACTGGCGAAAGTAACTGGGGAACATCTGGTGTCAATTCGGCCGTGCAGGAGCCTGCACCACCCGCGGAAGCGAGAGGCTGCGACCTTCTCTCTGCTCTTGTAGCCAACGAACTTGAGGAAGCTTCATTAGGTGGGGCTTATAGCCCTGTGAATTCAAGATGCAGTTTCGGTAATTCTAGCGTTCTGGCAGCTAGAGAAAACAACAATATGTTTTCCGTAAGTTTGAGTCTATATATTTTTCATAAATCGCATTGACGTATTGGCTGACGCCTACATGAGTAAGTGCTATTCTCAATTTCTAAATCCACCAATAGTTAAGATAGCTGCTCCTGAAGTTCATCATTAAACTGTTGTCTCTATAACAAATCAGTGGTCGTAATGTCAACATTGCGGACTCCTCAAGATTGATAAGTGATTCACGTTAAACCACCTACCTTTTGAAGTCATGATTTACTACCCACTCAACATTTAATAAAGACATGTTCTGTAAAGGAAATAAAATCTGTAAGAAATACCATACTTATACCATTATTGTATTCAGTGAATAATTGTCTAATTAGTAGTCCAGACCTAGACTTTGGCGAGTAGTCTGCAGGTTGCAGACTTATAGGCGTTCGTGCCGTGTGTTCTGTATCGTATTAGCTTTCTTTGACATGATTCAAGTCATTCCTTCCTGAATTTACTTGTCAAGCAAACTGTGGTGTCGCTCAAGAAAGTAACACATGGTTTTTGTAAATAAAAACCATTCAGACCCTAGTAAAATGTAGTGTGTCCGTCCGGTGTCTTTTTGCAAGCCGACTCTTTTACTTTCCAAAGTCCGATTTTTCAGAAATATTAGTTCAACATATCTTGATTCGTTTTCATCATAATGTTTTGCCGTTACCAGCTATGAGTTAAAATAAAATGTAACTTAGTCTGGGACGCTAGGTAATCAGGCTACGGTAATTTGTCAAGTAAGCCACATTTTCGTACATAGTTCTACATTATTTTCTAGTCTAGCCCCGAGTGTAGGATAAATTTACCTGTCCGATACTTTCGTAGTCTAAATGACCCTTTCGGTCTATAAATAAATACAAAATACCTTGAAACAGCTTTGCTTGTTATTATGTTTGAAGTGTCAGTGAACGCTTTATTTCCCATTACAAACACAACAGAAACTTGTTAGTTCACCTGTTCGGTAACCGAATCAGATTCTTGGTCGTCACATGATACATAATTGGTTATTTAGTTGCTAGATAATTTTATTAGCTCGCATAGCATTTCTTGTAGTGCTTGAAAAGTAGGTTAAATTGGCATTTAAAATGCTTCGTACATAGTTTGCGTCTGACTGGCCATTACTGTTTTGTTATCCAGTTATATTCGTTTTGATTATTGTTATTCTTCACACCAAATGCCACTTATACCGTGCACTAGTTTCTTAATCTTCTGTCTGTTTTGACTAGCTTGTTCCTCTTAAACTAATTTTTTCTGACAAGGAAATTTGTGGTTGCAAATTGTATGCTTAGCTTCATCTGGTGCTAGATAGTAATAATTAGTCTAAAAGCCATACAGTACAATAAGAAAGGACTGTGAACCAGTAAAACGAGGTTATAGACTTGCTGTAAGTTTGGAACTTTATGATCCATGTCAGTATTATAAAAGCAACGAAAGTCCTCATGATCGTCAGCTAATTTATATTGGCAGCCACCAAGTCTGATAATTGCTTGTCGTCATACTGATTCTAGAGACATTTTATTATTTGTTTTCTACTCCATTATCTCAAACAGTGGTTTAGTGACTTCACGTAACCTTCCAGAACATTTTTCCCAATTCGATACATTTGATACATTTCTTTTCATTTTTGTAAAATTTAATTTTCTCGTTTACTGTCATTAAGTGATTATGTACTTATAAGACGTTCATTTCCCCATTTTTTTCTATCCTTGGTATTTAACAGTTCAAACTTAGGAGAGAGAGTCCATGTAAATTAAAAACATCTCCCTATACCATGTCTCCAGTATCTGAAAAAAGTCAACATTTGCTGAAGTTTCCACAAAAAGTAAGCAGGTGGAATATATTTTAAAAATGTAATTATGTAATTCGCACCAAGGGTCTTTACTTTTGCTTTTGTTATAATCAGTCTGTTTTCTGTCCTAGTTACCAACCTTGTAATAGGCTAAATAGTAAACTTGTCAGTAACCGTCATCTTATTTTTTATAACTTGTTACAGCAAGCGCGTAAAATATCTCGGGTACCATATAAAGTTCTAGATGCTCCGGAGCTACAAGATGATTTTTACCTTAATCTTGTTGATTGGTCTTCTCAAAATGTACTGGCGGTTGGGCTGGGAACATGTGTTTACTTGTGGAATGCTTTCACTAGCCAGGTAAGACAATCATATCGTTTTTCTACTCTTATTTTAAACAAGTTTTGTCTAACTTTTTAAGTGCAATAAATATCCTAATTTTTAAATTTTTAGGTCACTCGGTTGTGTGATGTTTCTGGAGAAACCGATGTTATTTCATCAGTTGCGTGGTCCAAAAAGGTATATGGATAAAACTAATAATTGTAATCATTTATTACATTACTCATATGTTGTACCAGTTATAAAATGTTTGTAGTTATTTAGCCGTGTAATTTGACTAGAAAAAGTGCTCTTGTATCCATTCAGTTCGCTGTATAATAAACCTATTTTTACTGGGTAACTTTCCGAACTAATTTATGCATAAGAAAGGGTAGTAACCGAAATTTTTTTAACGAAGCTGGTGGTTTATGAAGTGAAACTTCAATGAAAACTTCACTCACATAGTTCCCTTGATTTTTCAGTAATATCCAAATTTGTTAGCGTTAGGAATTTCCATTCTATTTTGCCATGTACTTGATTCCCGGGCCGTTTATAAAAGACTTGTTTGAAGTTGTGTTACTGATTGGCGGGTTGTCATCTGTTCGAAGTAATTTCTAGACTAACTCCAATCTTATACTAATTTTTCGTGATTTCTTTTAGTTAACTGAAAGTTATTTAGTTAGGTCACAAAATATAACTTACTACCACTGTTTACTAAAAGGAACTGTTTCACCATATAACCCTCTCACTTGCTTGAATCGCTTCCCTGCATTACTACATAAGCTACAGCTTTGTTACTGTTAAACTGGGTGACAAATTTGATGACCAAATCCATTTAAATTACCAACTATGGGGAGTTTTCTATTTTCTACTTTTTTTTCCATTAATGAGACAATGCATTCGACCTAATTGAAAGGAATATGCGTTAATTAGCATATGTTCACCGTTCCGTACACTTGTAGTTAAAGTGTTACTGTTAATATGTCCTACAAATAAGAAAATAACTGGGCAGGCACCTACTTACATAAAGTCTTACTATGTAAATGCATATACTCAGTAGATAATACATTCAAAACAGTATAAATATTATCAAGGTTGTGTAATGAATTCATTTCTCATAAATTTTTGTTTAAATAGATTAATGTTAATTCGCTTTAAGTAATACTTTCATCTTGTTTTGTAGGGTAGTCATTTAGCGATTGGCACTTACCGTGGTCATGTTCAAATATGGGATGTGACTAAAAGTTCCTGCATACGCTCACTAAACGGACATATCGCTCGTGTCGGTGCTTTGGCGTGGAATGCTGATCTTTTGGCGTCTGGTAGCCGAGACCGTTATATTCTGTTACGTGATACACGTGCTTCAGCTAATTCTGGTGGTGGACCCACTGGTCATCTACCTACCACAAATCCCTCTAATACTTCTGTATTAACTTCTGAACTTGCTGATAGGGATGAGATTATGACTGATTTCAATTCCATTAGTTCACCGAGTCACATTGATCAAGTAGAAAGTGATCCAAACTATCCGCGGGCTTCAACACCTATGGTATCGATCAATAGTGACCTTCCGGAAGTTGATCCTCCAAGTACTCCTGCTCAAATGGATATAGACATGCTTGGGTTTCGAGATACGGATCACGCTTCATCATGGTCTGCCGCAAGGACGTCAGCAAATTCCACTGTCACCCAGACTACTGCTTTACAGTCGATCGAAAATGGAGCAGATCGTCTTGTTCCTGGAGCAGTACGTGTGCTAAAGGATCATAGACAAGAGGTTTGTGTGATATTTTTCTTTCAGGTAAAATTTCTGATTGCTTATTTATATTTTGAAATTTAATTGAGATTTTATCCCCATCATTTTCTGCGTTACAAACCCACGTCATTATCAACCAACATCAAAATTTACTATCTTATTAGTAAGTTTCGTGTCGTATCATGAAGTGACTACGAGTCTTAATTTATTCACATTATAATCTAAAAACATTTCAAGTTTTATCTGGCCATTCATTGTTAGCATATTCCATTTTTCAAAATAAATTCTTTAGCATTGATATATATTGTTGGAATTCGTAGGTATGTGGGTTAAAGTGGTCTCCTGACAGTCAGTATTTAGCATCAGGAGGTAATGACAATCGTCTACTCGTTTGGAGTCAGCATGCACCATCTACTGGTGGCCCTGTCTTAACGTACGAAGAGCATGTGGCCGCTGTCAAAGCAATTGCATGGTCGCCTCATCAACATGGATTACTCGCAAGTGGCGGTGGTACAGCTGATCGTTGTATTCGATTTTGGAATACATTAACTGGTCAGGCTTTACGTAGCGTGGATACTGGAAGTCAGGTAAGTGATCCATGCTGACGATGTATTATTTAATAATCTTAGTTTATAAAAGAAAAAATGATTATTTTGATAATAATAGATCAGAAAGTAAATTGGAAATTAGCTTATTAATATTAAAGAATAGATTGTTATTTCACTATTTAACATTCATGTAGGTGTTTTTTCAATGCAGATATCATGGATGTTGTATTTCTGTGTAAACTGCAAAAAGACCTTATTATAGTTGTTATTTAGTAGGTCGATTTACGCGTTTTTGATTTTGATTGTACATACAAGTATTAAGTGGATGGCTTTCACATTTTTGATAAATGTTTTAGGGTTTGTTAAATATAAGTGACTGTTTCAACTGGTATTTATACACGTATAATCTAAATGTAGACACATTTCAAGTATGTCGGTAGTTGAATTGGTGTTTATTATTTTGTAAGAGTTAAGCGAATTGTTTTTGCAAACATATCACTTCAGTTTCAGAATGTGTATACAGATCGATACATTTTAGTTATTTCTTCCTAGTCGATCGGCTAGTTTGAATTGTAATGTGGCGTTTTATTTAAAGAAATTGACCATGTAGAATATATTGTTTATACTATCATTTAATCAGAAGTTCGAAGGACGTTACTCTACTCAATACTATATGTTGGCAATTGGCTATTGCCACTAGCAGAAAGCTGAATATAGAAGCCTAAAATTGAGCTACACTAAAATCTACATTGAATAAAAAATGAAAAGGATCTTACATGCCCTATATCGTATTATTGAAATGTCTTTAGGAATTTGTAGTGGAAAGTAGTTTAAAACTTCGCTATTTATCCTAACACTTCGAGAAACATGTTTCAAAAGCTACTACCTGGGTTGCATAAACGGCTTATTTTTTGTGGGACTTTCACTTGTAAAGATCTCGAATGAAAAGAACAATGATCTTTTCTTAACGCTTTAAATAAATTGTACTGTGTAAATTTATGTGAGTAAAAATTGTTGCTTCTTAATCGTGTACTCAACAAAAACTAGGTGTCTATATTGTTGACTGGTTTACATTTTGGCTAGGTTTGTAATATTGCCTGGTCTATACATAGTAACGAATTGGTCAGTACACATGGTTACTCACAGAATCAAATTCTTGTTTGGAGATATCCTAGTCTAACACAGTTAGTCAAGTTGGTTGGGCATTCATATCGTGTGCTGTACCTAGCAATCAGTCCAGATGGTGAGAACATAGTAACTGGTGCAGGAGATGAAACACTTCGCTTCTGGAATATATTTACTAAAGCCAAAACTCCAAAAGTTAGTATACTAAGTGTTGTTTGTGTCGTTGTTTTTATTTCGACCTTGTATGATTGGTTGATCTGATCATCTAGTTTTGATCTCTTCAGATATTTGACTATGAAATGTTTTTATCTGTGGTTAACCAATATAATTCCAAATAGTTACGTTGATTTTCCCACAGTTCACTTACAGAACATGCAGATATTACTCATCTCCCTGGGGTGAATTTTTTTTCTAGTATCCTAATCACTGATTTTCTTAGCTAAATTAGTTTTTTTGTTGCATACTGTCACTATCAAACGGAACAACGTTAATTCACACACAAAAGCCGTCGAGTTAATCTTTTTAAATATCACATAAGTTTGTCAGTAGGCTCCAGCTCAGTGGGGTTGAAAAGACTAAGTAATCTAAAGCGAGGAAGGGCAGCTGGGCTTAATGGATATTCGTAGGTCACCAATATTCGTTTATAGGTGTCTTTGAAGCATTGCTTACGTATTTTGGGATCAGTAAGTAATCAAAGCCTGAGTTAGGGATAAATTTCTATATGAGGATGAGAACTCGATTGATGAGGCTTTAAATCTTCATCGTCTGAGGTGTTTAGAACATGTTTTGCGTATGTCCAACCACTGTCTACCTCGACGGGTGGTGTTTCCCGGTGCAGGAGTAAGTTGTAAGAAAACTAAGGGCGGCCAAACCGAAACATGGCATCAGTTCACAGAGTCACTGACAGTTGGACTTAACCATGTTCATAAGTGTATGCTGCCTGGTTAGGGTCCATGTGATTATCGTAATTAATAGTTAGGGACTTTCAATGACATGCCTCAAAATCGTTTGCAGTGGTGCAGATGGATCCGTTCTTTGTTTTCGCCAAATCCTGCGATTCTAAACCCCTCATAACTTTTGTTTTTGTTTCACTAACTTATATTTTCTTCTTGAGTCGTATCTTCGATGTTTAATTTTTACTATTACCACTGATATTGTTACTATCTCTACTATTCTGGGATTTGGTCTGGGGATCTAATCACTGTGCTAATGGGGTTTAGGAACTTGAGCCCGATATACATACGTACTAGGTTCTGCGTTATGATTAACTGTGTAATTTGGTGCATGTCTTTAGGAAATTCTTCTATGTATTGGTAACCTGCTTAATAGTTATATTTCGTTGTAAGTTACCCCTTAATTTCGTTATAATACTCAAGTCTGTACCAGTTATTGTAAATATGAAGCGTTTCTGTTGACTTAATATACAGATTTTTAGCCTAATATATATATATATATATATATATACATTAGATGATTGACTGGAAACAGCAGATAAAAAAGTACTTATCAATAGACAATCAAATATACTCTGTTGTTAAATAGATGTATTTTACATAATCTGGTTTCTCTAAACATGAGTAACTGAAAGCAAAATTAGTACAGTGGTATTTATTTTATGTTAAACAGAGTTATGATGTTCATGGAATCACACCAGTTAATATGTTTATATTTTAGTGTGGATGTAATGAGTGTTAATTTTTATCGTAAATGAATTTTTATGTTATGCACAAATATGTTGCATATATATATTCAATACGAGTAACTTTTGTGCTACCGTATGTTTCACAACTTCAAACTATCTCACATTAAATCCATTGGTTTTTATTAGATGCAACCATCTTCACTGAACTTATTCAATGGGATTAGATGATCTATCTGAAAAAAAGAAGTCTTTCAAAACCTGTGGATATTTCTCCGATGTGTTTCATTCTACTTAGTAAATATATATGTATCATCACCAATGTGCGCACATTAGTTATATGCTATCCATACATATTACTCGACTATATTATTCATTTCTGTAAATATATGATTACTTATTGATAAAAATTTCAAATGTGTTAATAACTATATATTCCATCATTAACAATTACATTCTGGTCGTATGTATCAACGCCATAACTCTTATTTTCTATAGGTCTTGAACTTCTAACTTTTACTTCAGTCAGTTCAACTGTATGCAAAATTATATGGTTGCTTCTTACTTTTGTCTTTACTCATTACATATTGAACGAAACAAAATAGTAATCATTATTAATTTATATTTTCCTCACAATTGCTTGTCTTTGTGAAATTGTACTTATAATATATTTCTTAGTTTTGTAATTCCTTTAAATAACACATTGTGTAAGCCACTGTGTATCTGTTCATCCTAGTCATTTGTGACAGCTTTTTCTTTTCTTTTAATCTATTTGTATTTTTCTTTTGGCTGTCTGTGTCGTATTTAGTTCAACTTCTTGACACTGTGATAGTCTTCCTCATAATAATAACAATAATATATATGTACATATATATAATGTGCAGCGAAAGTAAAACATCGTCTTAGTTACTATTGTTTCCTTGGTATACTACTCAATGTGGTTTAGTCACATATTTATTTCATACAAAAACGCGGGTGCTCCTATCAATTGATACTTGCGGTGAAATATTGACGGATTAATGTGTAAATTACTTGTTTTGCAAATTAGTGTCTAGAGTATTAAATTATCTGAAAATCTGGCCCAGGAATTTATCATTCTTTGATTATAAATAACTGTCTTATAATGGATGGTAATGATGAAAAGAATGTGATTCTGGACGTTGATTGTTTTATTAGTTATTATCACTAAGATTAAGAAATCCATACAGTGATTCTAAGGGAAGTTGGTCAATAAAATACGTTTATTCAGTCAAATTTATCTTCCTTTGCAAAAATTTGTTCCACTCAGTTTCCGTAAGGAATATTTTGACTTGCGTTACCTTTATAAATTCTACTGGAACTGCAAACTCATCATGTACAGTTAGGTGTATACTAGTATAGATGTATCATGAAGTGTTATTGTAGTTTTTAGGAAAACGAGTGTACGAAAAGATCTGTTTAAATTGGTCAAGTAAGTATAGTTTCCAGTTTTTTCGGATTAAATAGTATTATCTATTTTCACTTGTGGAATTTTCAAGGCATTGAAGGTAATTTGTTCTATGTGATTTTTATTATAATACGTATATTTTGTACTGGTTAGGGTATCTTTATTGAAATAGTGAAAAGCTTCACTAAACTGGTTTTTATCACGATTACACTCCGAATAGGTTTTCAACGACTGTAAACTTGAAAGTGATCCTCAGTCAAGAGTATTATCAAGTAGCTCTAGAAATTTGTTATAATAATAGTGTATACTTTATTGTTTTTAACTTAATTTGGTCGAATATAAAAGTTAAATAAGTTGTAACAATAATAACTCTACACCATAGTGGATAACGCTTTGTGTATTGAATGAGGTCTGGTATTTCATATTTTAAAAAAGTATTTGTTGCAATTTTAGGATCAGTTAATTTATATTAAGGATACTGTAAATTACCAGTGCGTAAAGAACGCAACGTTTGCTTCATCCTATAATAGTAATGGCACTGAGATGTAGTTTTCTCACTGGTGTAACTTATATCCTATGAATACTTAATCTAGTTTATTTCATAATCTGAATCAGATCACATATGAAGGCGGTTGTGGATTTTTACTTAATTAACATTATTATATACAGAAAGAACATTACATTGTAGGTCAGATTTTGTTTTCCAATAAAGTTACAAAGAAAATAATCTGAAAAACCGTGATATGTAAAGAAATTATAAACGAACCCTTTTTTCACACTCATTTGTAATCTGATTCCACAATCTATTTAATCTAATAACGGGTATATTTTTATTCATATGGTTGATAAATTTCTAACTAGATATGTGATAAAATACAACTGGCTTGGTATGACTTAGTACCATTATCGACTATTTAATCTCATGTTCATTATGGTTGAGCTTCAGGGTTACTTCATTTTATAGCTTTGACAAATCTACCCTTGATGGTCAATTAATCGATTTGACAGGAAATAATTAATTTTGAGCTGGTTGTTGTGATGCTAGTCGGACAATTAGTTCACTGATTACATTGATAATGAAATTATGATGATAGTGATACAAGTTAACTGAAATCGAATTATTTAGACCATCATATTCGTACATTACCAGTATTTGATGATGATTCTCTTCGAAGTATTGCTTGTGTGTGTCAGGAGCATCAAGTGAACAGTATCGAGGTTAGACGCGGAATACCAGTTTATTATATTTATTTGAACACAAATATTGGTACAAAGGGGCACCGAATACATATGCGCCACACAAGTAACTTGATTTGTGTGTAGGCTGTGATACTCCTCGGGTCCCCAGACCAAAGCAGGTGGTTTTCTTAGGAAGCCACACCCGGAGCCTTCGACATAAAGGTCTGATCCACAAGGCAGTGGGACAACGTCAGGAGATACACAGTCCCTTTGTAGCCGGTCACCAACATTAGGTTCATACGCCAATTGTTTCTTCAAAATACTGCAGCCCATGTACACCATCGGTTTGGAATCAGGGTTTTCCAACTTCCCTAGGTGGAAACTCCATGTCCACCGACCCGTTTAAAGCTCAGGACACTCACTCTCAATTTCGTGGACAACACCCCCGCATAGAGATGGCAGCGAGTAGGAATTCGCTGGTAGTGTCTGTATACGCGTGGCCATATGAGAGCACTTGGAGAGGGAGAGCTAACTCTCACCACCCTCGGCTGTACCAGGGCATTTGGGGGCTGACGTGGTTAGAATATTTGTCACGTGTGTCTTATCACCTACTTCGACTTCATTATTTGTAAGAGTGGGTTGGAAGGCCAGGAGCAGCTGCTAAACAAATATGTCGCATATTGTAATTGACAGTTGGACTAAGTCATCTAGTTAGGTATAGACTACCTGGATGCGATTCGTATGATTGTCGTAACCAATGGTTGAATTGCTCTCAGAAATGCAGATGCATTCACTATTTGTATTTCCTTTGATTTTGAGTTTTCAAATTATGTTACACTTGGCTATTTCATAAATTCATTGCTCTCGAATAATACTGTCTATACGTAATGTTTTCTTCTACTACTTTGAATTAATCTTGATAATTCCCTATACTGACGTGGTGTAGGAACTTAAACTGATGCACATACGTGGCTAGTTCTATATGGTTTTAAATTAATACGAATTTTAATTTAACTCATATTTCAATATTTCTTCATTTGGTATCAAACACTTGGTAAAACCATCTGAAATAAGCAGTCGATCGTTAAATTATCAAATGAAATACCAGTTTTAATAACAATGTCATAATGGACGTATTTATGATTATATTTGTATTATGTCTGGAAATCTTATTTTGCTAATCCTTTTCTGAATTTTGATTATAATATTTCTGATATTGTCTCGAATCCTACTTGAATTAAGATTGGTAGGTACAACTTACTGATAAGTTCCAACAAAATGGGAACATATGCTCAATTATTTCTGTCAAACTTTTCATCATCTAACATCAGAATTAAATATATTCCAGCTACTCCTTAGTGTTAATGCTTACATATAAATGATGGAAGATTTCATCATGTTAAATTAATAACAGCTCAAGCATGGTGACTTGATAATTGAATTACTTCAGAATTTCATTTAGGAAATATTCAGTGAAACACACTTGAATATTTTAATAAATTCATGTTCTTACCACATTCTCAAACAATTATTATGTCAATTAAATGGACGGTGACGATCAGTTGAAAATATCCACTTGTTTCAAGTTGATGCGTACAAACATATACATATTGGCATCATCGTATAGATTTTAATAAGTGGTTTGACATGTTGTAATATTATTTCACTGTTACGTCATGATTGTACATGTATGAATTTGAAGTGATAAAATAATCATCATTCGATTTCATTAGGTTTTATTTTGAACAATCTAACAGTTTATAATTGTCATATGCAATGCTTCTCATTTTCTTCTAAGAGGCTTTTATGTATGCATGTCTCTGTGTGTCATATTTTCCACATGTATATATACATTTTGAACAGGAATTAAGTTTCATTGTTCTCATCAGGTAAGAATTCCTGTGTGTCTTGCACAATAAAACTGCGAAATGATGCCGTTGTTTTCGATACGAAGAGCAAATGAGTTGATAGTTCTACATGGCATCTACAGTATCAGGTAAATCTCTGATTATCTATCATATAGAGAGTATACTGGACAATAGCTCATTCAGTGATGTACGAATTTAAGACTTCGTTATTACATGTGGAAGATATTTGTAGATTACAAATTTTTGATAAAAATTATCTCTGTGATATTGCTCACGTGTGGGGATGGTCAATATTTTTAGAGTTGTTGGAGTTCGACTCAAAGTTCTAGGCTAAGAATACAATACTAAAGTAGCTTGGCCATATTGGACATTCTGATCCACTTTTTAATTTGAAGTAAGATGCTTGTTGAAATGAGTTCATTTAATATAAGAAAGTAACGGTCAAAATGCTACTCCATAGTTCCAGACTATGAAGTCTTAGAATGTTAGCTAGTTATTTGTTGGAGGGTTGCAAACCTTTTAATTGTGAATATCAGACACAGTAATTGGAGACCTTAGTTAACATTCCTCACGATCGACCATATTGGTGTAGATATATTTACTGTTGATGCTGTGGTCTCTGAATTAAGTAGTTCGGTTGTAAAACAACGACTGTGACAAACATGCACGACAAGCAAGGCCACACTCTTCGTTCATGTTTATGTAAAATCCAGTTCGCTGTTAAATGACAAGATATAGCCCTACATTAATGCTTATGGACATAATTTTGACTTGGGAAATATCAAGATATTGTATTAAAAGAACACCAAGAGAACCGGAGAATCTTTCAAAACCCGGGACTTTTCTAAATACCTGCTGTCTGACTCCAATGTGATCGAATCATTAGCGGTTTACACGAAATATAGATTCTACTTACAGCTTATATGTTGTTTCACTAAATCTCACTAATAACAACGCGTATATGTGTAAGCGACAAAATTCGTAGGAAAGTCGGAACTGTTCAGTTGTCCAAAAGCTAGAATAGATCGAGTAATAAAATAGCTGTTACAACTTTAATCAAGCATCAATCAATAGAGACATTGAAATCAACCAAATTTACTATTGATTGATCACTGAGTAGTCCTTCTTAGTGCTAATCAAATTCTATCGACCCAGTTGTAATATGGGTGCCAGTCTGTGTCGAGCATGAAAACGAAGTCTAGGTCTTCATGTCAACTACCTCCAACCACCACTTTAAATCGACGAAGTCTATCAATCACTAAAAAAGAGCTGGTAATTGTAATCTCGGAGTCCATATTAAGAAAGAAAACAGCCAAAAACAAACAATAACCAACCAAATTCTAGGTCAACAAAACAAGTTGTAAGCCAGTCGTGAAGAAATTATAATTACCCAATTCTCTGATTATGTTTTTTAGATTAACAATGAAAGCTCAA